GTTAATTTGATTTTTAAAAAAATATTATTAATCGTTTAAAAATTGTTTAGCTATTCAATTCAAGTTAGAGAAAATAAAAAACAATTATTTAAAAACTTTATTGTTCCAAAGGGTAGCGGTGGTTTTGTAAACTCTTTTTCGACATATCCCCAACATTCAATTTGCGCGAATTCGAAGCTTTAAAGAATTTAAACACACGTCATTACTTTTCAAGATATGATCAATTAAGTACAAAATCTTTCGTAATTTATTATGAAAGTCACAAATTGCAATAGTAAAGAAAATGATGTAATACTTTTAGTAAATACCAATTTAAAGTAGGAAATTTTTGAAACTCTTTTTAAATCGTTTTTCTTTCTTCTTTTTAAATCGTTTTGTAAACAATTCAGTATTTCTTATTTTTTTGTTTTTAATTAAAATTTGTTGCGATTTCTTTTCTCTTCTAAATCGGTATTTCTTTTTAACGATTCAGTATTTCTTAAACTATAAATTTTTATAACTTTTTGTGATTTTGGTTAGAATATTTCTCTTTTACTTCGATTTTATGTTTTTTTTAAAATCGTTTCTTCCTGTAAACGATTTAATGTTTCATAAACCGTGAATTTTTATAATTTTTAGCTTTTTCAGTTAAAATATTTTGGGATTTCTCTATTTCTTCGATTTTAACTCTTCTATATAGTTATTTCCTGTAAAAAATGTAATATTTCTTAAACATTGAATTTTTCTAATTTTTTTATGTTTTTTGGTAAAATATTTTGAGATTTCATCTTCTGGATGCTAAATTTCAGTTTGTTTGAAATTTAATTCATTTCCGTTTTTTTTTTTTTTTAAATTTTTTTTACTATGTTTCATAAACTTAGGAATAAAAGTTTTGTGCTTCTTTCATTACATCAAAATTAAAAGGAAATAACAAGCAGTACACAGACAGTTGTCCCTGTTATTAAGCAAGTTTGATAAGATTTCAATGTTTCCGTTATAGATAAGAAATTTCTTTGTGTTATCTAATGGCACATTGTTTACGAAATGGTAGATGAAAATCAATATTTTATGTGCTGAAATTTTGTATCTATAAGTCTACAATTAGCGATAAAAAAAGGGGGGATCTGGGCTTTATGATAAATCTAGTTTTAATTCAAGGATTAGTTTTATGTGATATTTTTCAATTGCTTTGCTTTATAATTAATTTAAAGCTATCATGACTTGTAAAATGTTGACATTTTTTTTATCCTCGTTGTTTAACTTTTACTTTTAATACCTAATGAGTGCATGTTTATATTTTCACTTATAAGTTCTCAACCTTTAGGGCCTTAAGCCTACCCTTAAACTTGCAAATTACTTATGCAGGTCATACAAAAACGTACTTTCTTTGGATAAACATAGCTTTTTTTTTTATAAATTTGGTTGTTGACCCTAAAAATATGGTGTGAAGTAATCTCAATCTGGAAAAAAAGATACCAAAAAATTTGAAAGTTAGGACATTATTTTGCATTTTTCGTGCTATCCCCGAACTAATAAAAAAAAACTTATTTATCCTAATAGATAATTCCTCGTAGAAAATTATTTCTTATAATTTTTATTATTTAATTTACTATTAATTTTTGAATTGTGAGGTAACACATTTTTAAGTCAATTTATTCTTTGTAATTTTCAATGATAAAATCCAAAGTTTAAAGGGCCGAAATAGTCCCTGAGAAATTAAAATCTTTAAAATGGCGAAAAGTGAACACAAACTTTCAACTGTATTTCTGCCAAATCTTCTTTATCTTCTCAATAGCTTACTGTTATTGCGTCTTTTTTTTATGGAATTATGTTTTTTATTAGGAAATTGTGTTCTTTTTTTTAGGATTTAATTTTATTTATTCTTTGCGAGAATTATGTTGGTTTTTTCTTTGAAAGATTTATTTTTTTTGGGGGTGGGGAATTCTTTTTTTCCCTACTGTATGGGAGTAGTAGTATACGAAAAATGGCAGAGGGAAAGCCATTTTTGTTTATTTTTAATATCAGTACAGAAAAGTGAAGAACGAACATCATTTCACCTTATTTTTCTTATAATCTTAACCCTTAATTTTCGAAAGGCAAACGTGTGTGGGCAACCACCTGTCAAGAGTTGTCTTCCAACTCGCTAAAGAAACAATCTTCTGCTATTTTTCACCTCCATGACTAATTTAAAATTTAAAGTATGGAAAAGTGCGTTCAGGCAAACTTAGAGTAGAGCCAATAAGTTCCAGTAACTTAAAAATAATTTTTCTTTTTAAATTTCAAAATGAAAGCAAATTATTGGAGAACTTCCTTTTTTGCGTAATCCTTAGTTATCCTCTCATAGTTAGTTTTCATTTTGATATTTTGTTAATTTAGTTTCAGTGCTTGAAAATTCATGCCTTACTTTAGGTTAGCCTGAACTCACTTTTTCTCTACTTTAAATTACCTATGGAGGTTAAAGATAATTTGCGATGAAAGGTTTCTTCCATAGTATAGTGAACCTCCCCAGGTTCAAATTATTTAGAGCCCCATAAAAATCCTTCATAGTATGAATGTGAAATTAATTTTTGTAGTTTTCTTAAAAATAAGTTATCTATCAATTAAATAAAATTATTAATCTTAAGAATCATTATTATATATTTTGATAAATTAGATATTTTGCGTCTAAAATTTGGAAAATAGAAAAAAAAAACAAAATTTATTTTTTCATGTTATTTCCTTCTACCCTAACCCTTGCCTAACTCCCTAATTTCATTTATAATGTTTTGTTTCAAGCTTGAAATGCATAATATTTTTTTAAAAACTATTTTCTGTAACCATAAAGAAACATTTATAGTTTTCTGATAGCATTTGGTTGGCAAAAATTATACAACTTTTGTAAAAACGGAAAATTCTTATTTGTTTGTGCCAATTTTTAGAATTTTTATATTTAATATTTCCTGCTTCTACCTAACATTGATCTGTACACGTTGCTTTTGCAAACTTCGACACTAAACCTTATTTTAATGTAATTCATTGTGTAAAAAAAATTTAAAAAAAGGCTTTCTCTTTTTGAATTTTTATAAAGCCAGCTTAATTGGAATAGAATTTCATAAAAAGTTTCAATATTTTAGAATTTAGGCTCCAATTTACACATTAGCCCAATTTAACCCTGGATGTTTGTGTAATCAAGGGAGAGAAATCTGTGCAAAATTCTCCATAGTTGTAACACTTGGTGGCTTTAGATGTTAGAAAGCAAAATAAAAGAATTTGTGAATTAGTTTATATATATATATATATATATATATATATACGTGTGTGTGTATGTNGATGTAACCATTGTACACATAATAATTACATGTATCAATAAATATTTGATATTTTTTATACAATTTACTATAACTGATTAAAAGAAAATAATATAATATAATAGGAAAAGGTTTATTATTTTTGAAGCTCCTCAATTCATTGAACAACAAAAGTGAATACCTAATCCTTTAGATATAAATATGCTTTTAATACTGATAAATAATATTTTTGCATAAGGATAAATATGGCAATATTAAAAAATAATAATATTTTTTTAAAAAAATACTAAATTTGCTCAAAAATTAACTTTTTGTTTTTCACAAGATTTTTTTTAAAAAATGTTATAATTTCTGCATCACAGGATGAGAAAAAAGACATCAATTTAAAAAAAAAATTTTTTTTAAATATAAATATATTAGTTTAAATTGAAGATACAAAATACCTGAAAAATATATTAACAGTTTTGAAGAGCATAACATCAGTTTCAGCTACTGACACTGGTGATATATCACCACTATGCTAAAAGAATTGAACATGAATGAAATAAAAGTATTCTTGAATAGTACTATAGATAAATAGACGTGTTTATGACGAACCAAGCGCTTAGTCCCTAATATTTTAACCTGTATGGCAAGGCCAAACTGCAGTTATGTACTATTGAATGAGAGGATCAATTGAATGAACTTGATTACTGATTAATCTTCCTTCGTTTAAATTGAAGAGTCAAACAATATTAATAAAACATTATACTTTTAAAAACAAATATTCTCTAGTACATTTAAATATCAATATGTTATTAGTTATATATTTATTTTACCGCTTAAATATTGTTCAGATAAAATTGTGAAATAATTTGAGTAAAAGGGTTTTGGACAGTTTTGGACAAAGGGGTTTTGGACAGGACGGTTTAAACCAGGTGTGTGTGTGAGAGAGAGAGAGAGTAAAAGCGTGTGTGTGTGTGTGTGTGTGTGAGAGAGAGAGAGTAAAAGCGTGTGTGTGTGTGTGTGTGAGAGAGAGAGAGAGCAATAAGGGACAATGTTTTTTCTTCTGGTGGAGGAATCGGAGAGAGATAAGGTGAATTAAACCAGGGACCTCAGTGCTCATTACCACTCTAACCACCCTATATCTCAGCCCAAAATAAAGTAGGTGTATGCAGTATAGACCAGTGGTCACGAAATAGTGGTGCACAAAGAATTAGTTAATGATGGAAGATTTTTGCTTTGCTTTTCAGTTAAATTTCTTCCCTTTCCTCCCACTAAGGAAGTCACATTGATTGAATATTGTCACATTATTGTAATTATTAAGTTATTAATCATAAATTTTATGAATCATTATCATTATTTTACTTTTCTTCCTCATCTTTGATTATCATGTAAATAAAAACTTCGTTGAAAGAGTGTGTACGGTGCCGTACAGTGTGTCAATTTGAAAACTTGCCACTTGGTACAACTTTCTAATTAGTATAGTTTTATGAAGTCCCTGAAGCATATCAATTTTGTTCTGGGGACGACGTTTTAAAACTACTTTCATCAGTTGGAGAATTCTTTCGAAAAGCTTGGGATGGTGGTGGTTAAGGTTAAATATTTGTTGCTTGGACGTCCATAAGGATCAAAGGATTGACCTCCGCTGGTATAGAGTTGCTAAATTCTATTAAAATGTTAATGTAGATATAAAATTAATATTAAAATGGTTTTGGTTTCATCTGCTCTACATTTCCCCCCCTTTTCTTATAGTGTTCTACTCTAGTGTACCTAATATGTTTGCAAGTGGTGTGAATAAAAATGGCAAGTAGGAACATTGCCAATATGCATTTGTTCCTGGAAATGAAGACAAAATTCCCTTACTTGCCTGAAGATACCTTAAGAAACTATGTCTTTCTTGTAAGTGCAATTTAATATCTTTTATTTAGTGACCTTTGAATCTAGAAATGTTGTTCAATAGGAATATTGCTTGGAATTCTTAATTATTCATTTTTCTTTGTATAACTTCAAAATGTATGTATTCTTTAATAGAGTTCTGATATTTAATGCAATTATAAATGTTTATATAAATACTAACTGAATACCTGTCCTTCACATCAATCAGTACGGAACAATACTATAAAATGTTCACAAAATGGAAAGACATATAGACAATTATAACAGTTAATTAAGACAATTTATAAAGATAAAATATATATTTTTTGTTTATTATTTTTTGCTCTTGTTGGGGACTTTATATTTTTAGATTAAGCAAGACCCATTTTTAGTAGTTAATTCCATTAAAATAATTATTAATTGTAAAGATCTTTTTTTTTCATAACCGTTATTGACAGCCGACCCAATTTTCGGGTTTACGACTTTAAATGTTCAACTTCATAGCCTTGTAATTTAAAACCCAATCCAGAAGACAAGGAAACTCCTTGATCAAGTAATGGGAAAAATTTGCCTTCGTGGAGGACTTTTTGATGGAACTAACCCGCATTTGCGTTACATGGAGAGGAAGACCACGAGAACCTCCCACGGTTAACCTGACGGCAAAGGGACTCTAACCCATGATCTACCACTGAGGATATTTCACGTGAGCACTGTGGTCGGTGCAAGCGGGATGCGGAATTCGTATCGACCAGCCATCCCTAGGATCGAACCCCGGTCTATCACCTACCACGTTCTATCACCTAAGCCCTCGCGGCTCTGTAAAGATCTTTTAAATGATTTTATTTCTCACGGCAAACTCATGATTAAAATTTACCCAATGAAGCAATTTTTCTCTGGTGCTTATCACTTTTGAAGGCAGATAAAACACCTCTTTCCACATTAATATTAAAACTGCACAGTTTTATAGCAGTTATATCTGTAGTACAATGTATATAGAATTCTTTTGTTATCAATGTACATTCATTTTTTTATATTTCTCAAGAAATACTAAAAGAATCATAATTTCAGAAGTATTTACATCATGCGATTTCCTCATACTTTATCAGTAAAGTTTAAAGCTTTTAGGGGTTTGACGGACCAACAATAAATCGTGTTTTTGAACATACTCAGTAAAAATATATATCGCAAACAATTTGTTACTTGTTACAATTATTTAGATTATTATATACAATAATTACACAAAATTTCGTAAGACTGTTTTAAATATTTATAGAGATATGAACATAATTTTTTTTGTTTTGTGTTTTTTTGCTATAACTTAAAAAATATTCATTAAAATTAATTAATTTAAAATTAATTGAATTTCAAATCTTTGTGGGAGTTGTGACTGTGTGGCTTTGCAAAGTCAGATGCTTTGACTCAAACCTAATTTTTGGAATTAAATAAGATTTATAAATTTAATAGTATACACCAGAATTAATTGAGTCCAGTATTAATTGAAATAATGGCAAATCAGAGTTAAGAAACTGTGTACCAGCTAGTAAAAAATACGGCATATTAATAAGAAACATACTGTTTAGATCCACTACACCTCTTTTTCTTCAATATTCAGTCCTCTACTATTAACTGCTAAAAGCTTGGCTTGCTTTTATTATGTATATGAAATTTTTATTATTGCAAAATGTATCAAATCAGAATTGTGTATTATTTTATATTTAGTACTTTTTTACTGAATTTATTTTTGTCTTTTAGTATGCACAAGACCAAGCTAAATGTTTAAGTCTCCTTCAACAAGAAAGTGAAAATCACTTTCACCATAGTCATCAGTTCTCAGATTTTCGCCAGACTGATAATAAAACCAACGACAAAATAACTAAAAGCACCGAAGAAAACTTTGATTCCATATCAAACATTATAAATTTTAATATTCCTCCTGAACCTAACTTCAAAATGGCTCCTAATAACTTTAATTTCAAGGATTCTGATTTGCATCAATTTTCCAATCCACCTAGTTCTTCTCCTAGAACTAACCGAAGTACAAACGTTATCCACTTATCCACCAAATCTACAAACTTTGCTAATCTTCCACAACAAGAGAGTCGCTCTGCTCCAATTATAGATGATTCTGAAAGACCTTTTGTAAACATGTTTACATCAGTTCCAGAGTCTAGTCATGTATTTCAACAGATTCCTCGTGATCCAAGTTATTCTAATCAAATGATGTTTTCCACTACCAAGGAACATATCATAGAGCCATGTGGTACAAGTGATAATAACTTCAATCAAAGCTTTACAAATTCAAACAAGACTGATTCATCGAAAAAGCATGCTGTGAAACTTAGTATAACCCCCATGCTACCATATCAACAACAACAAATGAATGTATATAGTAATACTGTATGTGCTACTGCTTCTCATTCTTCAAGACCTGGCCGCCATACGACCTCAGTAAATTTTCAGCTACAACCTCAATATTCAGATCAGCTGCCATTGGAAATTTCCTCAGTTCCCACTGGTATGGGGAGGCCTTGTAACTATAGAGACTTCGGCTCTCATGTTCAGATATCGGTGGGTGCACAGGGTGCAACATTTACAGCTTTAAGACTTCAAAGACCTCCTGTTGCCCAAAATCCAAATATTGATTATTCTTCTAATAAAGTTTCCTCTGGAAAAAACTATAGTAGTGATTATTCAGAATCTTCTAGTCAGAATTTAAATTTCAAATTCGATAAGTTTTCTAGTTCATCTAAGAGAGTGAAAATTCCACAAATAAATTTGAACAATCATCCTGAATATTTTGAACAGAAAGAAAATGTGTCAGTTTCTTCTGTTAGTGATCAGAGATCTAGTAAAGATATTGGCTGGTTTTTAGATCCTAACAATAAAAAGGAACTAAAGCACCCTCCTTCGCATGGTTATCAAACAACGCCGGATTACATTCAAGGTAGGATGTTCATTTATAATCTAGAATATTTTTGACTGTGGCTTAGTCAGGATTTTATTTTATGGGAGGGGGTATAAGGAATTTTACTATTTAACTATATAACTGTATATGCCCTTCACAATCTCTAAGTAAGCTAACCAAAGAGTAATAGTAACTATCTAGGTAAACCCCCGGCATTCATCTGGAGCAATGTCGGTGACTATGGTTACGATGTTTAACTCTTTCAAGGTGTGTGGCACAATGTTTAAGACAGGTTTTGGCTCAGGTCAGCGAGAGATACCCCTTCTTTTTGAAATACGCTATTTCTTGTTTTCTTTGCAACAGACAACCATATTGACGAGGTGAGTTTTTTGCCTAGATAAGGAAAGTAAATAAGAAACCATTAACAAAATATTATGTGCTTCAATTTTTCCAGAAAGTTAGAATAAGTGTAATTTACCGTGACATTGAATTTTCTTTAGATGATTTTTTTTCCAATCAAGTAGAAAACAATTTTTTTTCCATTTATTTTCGTGATTTTTCTTACTCATTTTGGGGAGTTCAGACCCCATGGTCACACATTATAAAATGTCAAATACACGTCATGAATTGGAAACGAAAAATAATTTATTATGTGTCCCTGGGAACATGCAATTCTCCAAAGAGGAAAAAAAAAAATTGCATGTAGGATAAATCATAACCTAATTTTAAACATTCAAATAAAATAAAAAACTTTTTCTTTATGAAAAAATTAGTATTCTGAATTTATATTAGATTGTTTTTCTTTGATTTTTCAAATTTAACACCTTTTTTGTTGTTGTTTTAAAATTATGAATATGTATGTACTATATTATTAATAGATGAATAAAGAGGAAGAGAACTTATATCTTAAATAGGGACCCACTTTTAATAAGGAGGAACTCCGAAATGCTGGAGTCCTGGCTTCAGAGTAAACCTAGTTTCCAATGTCTAATAGAATTATTGGCAAACGGGAGAAAGGGCTATAGCCTCCAACATGCAGTAAAAGGAAGCATCCGAAAAATGACTAAGAATACAAAATAATCAATATATTACTGTTATTAAAATGATGTAAAAATTTTTTTAAAAGCTAAACATTCAGCTCAGGGTATAAATAATTTGGGCATTAGAATAAAAGTAGCATTAAATAATTAAAAAGATCTTGAGGCAAATATGTTCTAAGACTATTTTAGAAAAGGTATGAAGTATTTTTTTATTGATTGTATTAGAATTAATACAGAATTTATCCTTTGAAAAATGTGAATACAAGTTTTGGATCCCAATCATTTACTTAACTTTAACTTGAAGGAACACTAAACCTATAGAAAGTAAAATTATTTATTAAAAGTGCTAAATTATTTATTAAAAGTACTAAACTTAGCTCACAACTAGCAAAAGCCAGTTGTGTGCTAAGGGGGCCCTAGAAGTTAAGGCTCTGCAATTTTGAGATTAAAGGCATGATGGTGACTGTGTAGTCAGCATTGCACACCAGCTACTTTTAAGATGAGTTTGTACCCATCAATCTAAAACTGGGTAGGTATGACGAAATATGGGAAAAATTTGAATTTATAGTTTCTTTAAGAAGAATTTTAACCCTTTCGCTGCATTTTTTTTAAATTTTTAAATATCAATATATGGGTTCAAAAATTGCTTATTTTTTATTATATATTTAAAATCGGACGATAATTCTAAAAATAGCAAGACTTTGGAATTTTTTTACAAATTTCAACTTTTAGTATTTGTTGTTTAACAAAATAAGGCATTTTCCTGATAACAAATTATACTAATAATAATATCTTGCGTAAACAGTGTAATATACAAACTTAAACGTCGAAATAAAGTTACAGATAGAATTCTTGTCATTTAAAAAACAAAGCAAGCAGTTGTGGTTTTTCAAGTTGCAAAATGTGCATTTGCTTTTTACAAGTCAAACAAATAAAAAACAAATAAATAAATAATTTGTTTGTTCAATCTTCGAGAAAAAAGGTGCATCATTTAAGACGATCAGTCAGACGTTTTGCACTGAGTAATTTAAATATATAAAATGCTCTTAAATTCTTATCAGCTAACTGGCTATAGTTCTGAGACTCTAAAAAAAAAGCCTGACAATCATTTAAAGGGAGTCTTAATTTAAATAAGAATTTTAAGTACTAATAAAATTTAAACAAAATAGATTTGTATATTATCGGAAAAAATCTACATGGTAGCATAAAGAAGGAGAAAAAGGTATAATGAAATAATTGTTGATTAGTTCTGTGAATCACACATGGCCAGATAATTAAAAATCTAATTTTAAAGTAAAGTTGTTATATAAGGTACTGGGATATTTTAAGACACTTACATTTAATTGACATTTGGTACGTAAAATTCGATCATTGGAAATAAAATTATTCAGGGTGAAATCTTTTTTATTTTGCACTCTGTACTTCCGCTCATTTGCTGTTATAATTGTTTCTTTAGTTTTAAAATTTAAAAACTTAAATAACTGTCTAGTTTGGATAGTTATATTTTGTTTTTTATTTTGAGAATTAGAATTATTATGAATTATTTATTAATTTTATTTTTTCCTATAGCTGTTAAAAGTCATCAACGTTCCCAACTGAAAATTGTTCAAGAAGAATTGGATAAAGCAAAATCTATATTTTCTAATTTAAAATCAGAAGTTAATAGAATGGAGTTTGAATTACTTAAGAGAAAAGAAAACATAGTATCCTCTTCATATGTGAGTATTATTATTTATTAATATAAAGCGATGAGGATTTTAATTTTTAGAGGTTTAATATAGAGTAATTAGATTCTTTTTTTACAAGTTACAACTAAAGTGCTTTAGATAGCAATGTTTATTTTTCTTTTACTTCTTTTTTTTTTTTTTGCGTGTGTGTTACTGGAATTAGTGATGCGAAACTGTTTAAAAGTATCTCTCTGCAAAATAGTAGTGTATTAAAATAGAATGGCCCGTTATTCAGTTTCAACTCTTTTAATTTTACTGTAATAATAAAATGATAATTTCTTTGAAATTTTGGATTTTTTTTTAGTTTAATTATTTTTCATGTTTGTTAATTTCACTATGACCTACTGAATATATATTAACACTTACGGCTCCATCAGTAGTACTAGTATTATATGCTGCATACATGTTTCAGCTAAATGATAACAAGGTAAAAATTTTAAATTCTGAGTTTATCAAATTACTGTGTTCACTTTAAATTATTAAAAAGGTCCAAATATTCAACCAATTAAGCCTCAATAAATGAAAAATGTGCAGGCAATGGAAATTGGGTTGTATATACAATACTATACAGTTCTTATACTCAAAGTGAAAATAACAGTTTAGCTGGGTTCTTACTTAATGCTTCATTTTTCAAGAATTGTGGATATAATGAGTATTATTGTTTTATATTATTATATTTATTACTCTAAATTAACTGTTTATAAATTTTTGAATCTATCTACCTTTCATTTACGTCTATGACATGATGTGAATGTATAAAGATGAATTATGTTACAAAAATGAAACTATGCCCTTTTTTGCCGAAGTTTTAAATTTATTGCCAAATTGAAATTTATTTATTTCATTTCAGGGAGAAGTTATTAAAAAACTAAAAGCAGAAAATCGGCAACTAAGACTAGAATGCAATTGCCTGCTCTTAGAATATGATATGATTAGTAAAGGTCAAAGTAAGTGTATATGATTTTTATGTTACATTATATTTTTTTTATTATTATATTCATTAAATTTAAAGCAGTGTGTTGATAATTTTCGTTTAACTGAAAAATAAATTTATGGCATAGTAGAGGGCACATTATTTTTTGTAGCCGCTTTGTTAAAGTCAAGTTTCAACTCTACTGTTTTACTAATATACATATTGTTTGTTTTAGTGTTTGAGAGTGTTAAAATGTAGATTTTATTTTCAAAATCAACATAGTGTACTGGCCCAGAAATGGACAAAATTTAACCTGATAATAAATAAGTGTTAACTCACAACAGTTATGATAGCAAATAATTCTCAAAAAATGTTGTTTTATATGATAAAAGATCTTATATAATAATGATAAAATACAAATAATGTAATCTCAATATCAACCTTATAGTGAATTATTAACGTAAACCACATCAGTTGACTTCACAACTTCTCTTTTAAAGTTTTGTTCACAGTCTACATTAATTGTAAGCAGTTACAATATTTTCAGTAGATTTGTGTCTTAAGTCTAGATTCATTTTAAAACAAAAAGCACTGGAGTGACAATGACAGTCAGAAGAAGATGCCAAAAATGAAGTACATGAAAACAATGTATATGTACTGAAAACTCTTTGCAATTGTACTTCTGCTTCATGTACTGCTGAAAAGGAACGTTACTGTTTTTAAGGTACAAAAGTGCTGCAATTACTTTTATACCTTTTATTAACTGAAAACTTTTCCAACCAAACATCAAAATATTTTTAGCTTGTTTGTAGAGTCCTTTTTATATTTTAAGGAAAAGTTCTCTTTTAATGAAAAAATTTCCATAGTACTCTAACTGCTGATATAAATACTGTCTTTAATAATTTTGAGAGTTTTGAAATCTTTCATTTCAAGAGATATAAATCACTCTAATGTTAAAATCAAATTAAAAAATAAAATCATTTTTTGCTCTTAGTAGAAGCCAGGGGTGAAAGCGAGACGGAAAAGAGGAAAGGCTGGTAGTAAATCCTTTTCAGTTATATCTAGTTTTTGGGAGGAGTTTACTTATTCTTTTTTTAAACTATTCAACAATATATACTTTATCTTGGAAAAGAAGCAGTTTTATATATATGCTAAAATTATAAAAGAAATCTTGATAGTTACAGATATTTTATTTTTTTCGAAAAAAATGCTGGAATGAAATGTCTTACGTACCAGTTTTTTCTCTTTTCCGTCTTGCTATATAAGGGCATTCAGCCATGGTAGAAGCTTAAGCCTTTGTTAAAACATTTTAATAGCAATGTTTTTCTTTCATAAAAGAGTTTAGAAACCCGTGATTTTTTTAAAGCTTTTGATCTGCTCTATAATTTATGTATTTGAAATAATTTGTTTCTTATTAATTTGCTTTATACTATTTCAATAGTTCCAGTTGGAGAAACAAATGAAGATTTTTATTCTAACATCTTCACTGGACCAAATGATGGATTAGCTTTATATTCTCATAGTGGTTTGTATATATTTTATTAGCTTTATTTTAACAGATACATTTTGGTCTTTCAGTTTCAAATTTATTTATTATTGTTTTTACTGTAAATTTTATATTGTTACTAAACGATTGAAATTTATTCATATTTTGTATGGTTTTGTTACAATATTCATATTATCTATTTAAATGTTAAGATATATAAATGTGCTATTTCCAGCATTCCTTTTTTTATGTTCATATTTTTCAATTATTTAAATAAATTTATACATTTAGCTATTTATTTAATTTTTTGTTTAATGTTTTATATCTGCAAAATGTGCATTTAAAACTATTTCAGTTTGTGCCGTGTGTGTTGATAGTTTTCTTTTTAATTTAAAAGTTTATTCTTCAATATTTGAATTGCAATTAAAAATTCATTGCTACAATAAATGTCGTAAAAGATTATTGAATTAATTTCACACATACACAACTAACCTTTGCCAATTATCTGCTCCTTTTTTTCCCTGAGTTCCATCCTTAAGGCCATTGCGGCTACTCACCTTAATTGTAACTGCGACAGTTACGAGCAAAAACTTGAATTTTAACTTTTCATTCGCCAGAGCAATATAAACTGTCTCTGTAGTTTGATATGCTATGCTGATTATTCACCTTATTTTTACTTTAATATTTTGAATGTTAATAAATTTTAATATGATGTAAATTCTAATGATTAGTCTCCTGAGAATTTACCAACTACCACAGTGGTGATCCGGACGTGATATGAACTCCCCTACATTGAAAGTAATGCCCACTTCGATAGATGGTTCACATTGAACTGTTGAATTGCTATTTGTGACTGTGTCATTGTCCTCCTCACGCTGTTGCTTCTCAGTCTACATACAACGGGATTCTGCACACACTCAATTGCTAATAACAACACAGGATAGACCAAACACACAACCGTGAACTTAATACAGCTCTCACCTCAAGCGCTCAAAATTCGTTGAACTTAATGCAGCTCTCCTGGTCTTTCGCAAATATGGCAACTAGTTTTATCCGTCCATTGAATTCTATCCCTGATAACATTCTAATGGGGGAGTCTTGTGGCATAACTACCACTACTATTATTAATCATCAATTCACTAATATATAAGGCATGCTAACTCGATTTAATCTTGAGGTACCTTTTTTAGATGAAGGTAGACATGCGATATCACCTTCCCCCCCCCCCCCCNTCCCCCCCCCCCACTATTAACAAAGCACCTCATCTCATTTTGTGATTTTAATATCTGTGTGCCAAGTGTTCTTGATGACATTACTATCACTCTCCTTTAAAGCTTTGACGCAGAACTTTTATTCAACATATTTTTCGTACTTTTTTCATTATTTTGTATTAATATAGTTCACAATAAGTAAAAAATATAATATTTAGAAATTTAATAATTTATGGATATGAAATACGGGATAAAACACCAGTGTCTTTTTCTTTGTTGAAGGTAAAATCTCCTAAACAAGGCACACTTCCAAACAGTATTTTTTCAATTTTGCTCTTATTCAGATCAATAAGAAACAATTATTTGCCATTGAAATTTTTTTTAATTTACAAAGTCAATTATTGATAAATTTTTAAATATGAATGAAAAAAATTTTCAAACAACTTTTTTTTGGGTTTTATATTTTAGAACAAATATAATTCCGATAATCTAATCATAACTGTTTGGCTGTTTTTTGTTATTAAAAAATATGTAAAAGGAACACTGGTGTCCCTGCTGCATCAAAGGGTTATTTTAAAACCCACAAGAATCTTTTGTTCTCCATGGTGTTAAAGGATTTTTCCCTTTCTGATTAATTCATGGGGGACCCATGGTGATATATGGAGTTTGCATGGATTTTAGAACATAGGAAGCCAGAGAGTGGTTTATAATGATTTTGAAAGAACGCGGCAAGTGAGACTTAAAACTACTAGTTGGGAAGAGGTGACTCTTCAAAGCTTTAAAAATAATGTAGGCGCAACATAATTTTAATTTCAATCAGACGATACAATCAATAAGTTAGTTGCTGCTCCTTCTTGTAACTTATACTGCAAACCACAGGAAAGGTGTTTCAGCACTCTCATGCCTTAAGTTTAACTCATTACTCTCAGTTTTTAAACAAAATGTGTGAGCATTCCAAATTATTGTACTTTCCATTTGAGTTTATTTTTATTGTAATTTATTTTCGTAATTACAATTACTATTTTAATTATTTTGTTATTATATTTTCTTTTTTTTTCCAATTTGATTTTCATCAGGTTTTTATAGATAACTGTTATAAGTAAAAGTTGCTGTTGTATAATTTCATGTCATGTTTATGTCTTGTCATGTATAACAATTTAATGTTCTTTAGAGTAACTATTGACTACCTTTAACTTTCATTGACCCCAAGGATAATTTAATTACATGTTAATTTTATTAATAAAAATGTACTATATGCTAATTTATATATAATTCTTTTATTTAATTGACGTTTGGCGGCTGAGTCTCATACTGTAGGTCCGGGATTTCGTCCTCGGACTGGTTGGGTTGACTCAGCCCCTTGTTCGGCTAACCAACAAACTAGAACATTTGCTCATGCACCTCAATGCCCTAGATTAAGAAAACTTGAATGGGCACATGTCAGCTTTGAGCTGTTACATCTCTGAGAGAGAGTTCTTTTGTTATATACTAATTTATTTGTAATTCTGTTTCTGTAAACTCTTAATTCTCTTGTTTTACAACTAGGATAAGCTTTGTTATATTGATATCTATTGCATTTTTCTGTTGTTACTATACTTTATTATTGTTATTGGAAAAGGCAACGACCATATCTAAACTGACAAACATTTATTAATATCAGGACTGAACACAAATCAATTAACATAAAAGAAGAGTCTGTCTGCCTCTTCAGCTTTGCTGCGCGAGGTTGCCCATCTAACCACTGTTTAGTTAAAGGGTTAGAATGTGCACAATGAAGTGCATGTGCATAAAGTGGGGAATACATTTCCTGCATTAATATGACTAAATATTAAAAAAATTTAAGTACAGCTCTACTAATTAGATAGAGAAATAATGACACTAAAGAGTCATTTTGGTGCTATGTAAGATCATGTACTATGTAAGACAAATGTTACAGTGTAAGATAATGTACTATGTAAGACAGATGTACAATGTGCGAAATAAAAAAGTACCGCCCTAAATAACTTTTGATCTAATGATTGGATCTTCATGTTCTAAGACTAAATGGTTCAAGGGTATATGTGTATTCAACAAAAGTACACTTTAGTATTTGATTTCGTAACTTAAAATATTGTCTGCACTAATTAATTAGCAGATTTGAGGTTACCCTTTTGAATCAATCGGAATGAGTCCTAGAGTCTGAAGATCCAATCATTAGATCAAAAGTTTTAAAGGGTTGCCGTTTTTTTGTAATTTTTTTTTTTTGCACACTATATGTATATATATATAGAGAGAGATCTAGATAAAATCAAAATGTGTCAAATGTCTATAATTAGAGCTAATTTTTAATTTCTAATTTTAGGACAAAAAGCTTCTAAGAAAGAAAATCCAGTTAAATCTGAGCAAATTCTGTATGATGAAGATGATGAAAAGAATTCCTGGAAATGTAAAAAGTGTACTTTTGTAAATCATCCGGCATTAGAAAAATGTGAAATATGTGAAATTTCTAAAAATTCAGGTGAGTTACTCATGAACATTTAATTTTTAAATCTAAAAATATAATCTCTTTATATCTGCTTTAAAATGTATGTAATTTATATTTTGCATTTAAAAAATATTTTATCTGTTAAGTATGTTTAATATTGTTTCAGTTTACCAAATTTAAATTTTTTTACTAACTATCTTTATTCATGTGATTTAATTGAATTTTTAATGTCATTTATTGTTTATTTCTATTGTGAACTATTATTATTATTAGAGTTTAAATGAGTTTTTGTTCTCTAATTATAATTATACTTTTTGCAACTTGAAAGGTTAACTAACTTTAGAAATATTCTTATTTTCATGGAAAATTTCTCAACTTTAACTTCAATTTATCAATTAATTTATAACTTAAATTTATAACTAATTAAATGTAAAGAAATTATGTGCATGTATTCTTCGCAACATTTAATTAATTTACTTTTGTGTCGAAAATGAAATTTATCATTTGAATTATAAACAAAAGATAAATTTTTGACAAGTTTTGTTATAAAATCAATTATGCAGTTATTTTGATAAAATATTAAAATGAATTATATGATCTTTAAAGACAGAAGTTTTCTCTTGAATTTACATTGAAATATAAAATATATTTCTTATTTTCATGAAAAATTTATCATTACTTTAATTATCATTACTTATATTATTATTACCTTAATTTTTCAACTAATTTATAATTAATGTTAATGCAAGAAAGTTTTGTGCTGATACTCTTTGCAACATTTATTTATTAACTTTGCGTCAAAAATGAAATTCATCATTGAATTATAAACAAAAAATAAATTTTTGACAAGCTTAAATATAAAATTTATTATACAGTTATTTAGATGAAATATTTAAAAAATTATATGATTTAAAATTGCATAAGTTTTCTCTCGAAATTATATTGAATTATAAAATATCTCTAAATCTGATCGTTATGGTATGCTTTATCAGTAAAAAGTCTTATAAAAAATTTACTTTGTTTCAATTTCTTTCTCTTTTACCTTTTTATGCTCTTATTCTCTTTCTTCAGGTTATGTAGAATTTAAAACAAACTATTCTACCAGCTCTCATATTCAACTTTCACCTCCCTCTCAACAGCAGCAACCTAAAAGAGCAGTGGGTAGTGTTCAAATATCTGTCACTAGGCGTGTTCCTACTTATTCCAAAAGTGTTAAACTGCATTTAACACACAGAATGCCTAGATAATTAATTTTTGTGTAGTGAAATGCTCTTTTAGTGATATATTTACCTTTTTATGCTCTTATTCTCTTTCTTCAGGTTACGTAGAATTTAAAACAAACTACAGTCAAACCCCGCCATAGTGAACACGGTTTATAATGAACTCCCGGATATAGTGAACGAAATGTTCGGTCCCGTACCTTGCTATACACGTATAATGTTATTTTTTGTGGATATAGTGAACTAAAAAAGTGAGGTTGGATATTATGAACTTTTTTCTGTCTTTCACTGATTTTTTTTAATAATTTTAAAATGTCTACTTCAAAATAAATACTTATAGTGATTTTTAAAACCATCTATAGTGTGGAATGTAGCGATAAGCATTTTTTCTTGTTTGCTTCTTTTATCTCACTTTTCCATCCCTAAACAAGGCAGATGTATGGACAAATTTTTCTCTACATCTGCTAAAGATTACTAATTTTTTTTTTGTACACAGGATGAAAAGTAATAAAAAATAAAAGCAAGTTAACAAATTTTTTTGTTACTATGTATTATTTTTCAGTCATTTTTGTATTTAATTTTATTGTTCATTTACTTAAATAATGTTTAATAAAAAGAAGTAGATCGAAACCATTAGTTACAATTGTTTGCGGAACAGATATAGTCAACTCCCAGTTATAGTGAACCGAAATTTTGGTCTCCTGAAGGTTCACTATAGCGGGGTTTGACTGTATTATACCAGCTCTCATATTCAACTTTCACCTCCCTCTCAACAGCAGCAACCTAAAAGAACAGTGGGTAGTGTTCAAATATCTGTCTCTAGGCGTGTTCCTACTTATTCCAAAAGTGTTAAACTGCATTTAGCTCACAGAATGCCTAGATAGTTAATTTTTGTATAGTGAAATGCTCTTCTAGTGATATATCGTAATTGTTTTAACTTTTAGTATCTATACATTCTGATTTCTTTTTACAACTACATTTAAACTGTGCTTTATAACGAAAATTTTGTATGATATGAACATGTTTTAAATCCATTTCTATTCATTAGAAATAGAACATGTCATAGAGTCCTGATTATCTAAGGTAAAATTATAAAAGTATAAATTACATTGATTTAGGATTAAATTCATTCTATTTATTAAAAATAATGTGTACAGTGGCCGTCCAATTATTTGGGATATAATATTAATAAAATGCATTGCATGGTTATTTAATTAAATTAAATTAAAACTGAGCCTTGTAACAAAAATTTTGTTCCTTATATAATACACACACACATTAGGAAAGTCTTTTTTTTTTTTTTTTCGTTAGACACAAGACAAACAGTAGACTTCTAATTATCTGTGATATAATTAGAAGGTAATAATGATTAATTTGCATGGCTATAGGATTACAACAACCATGCAATTATCACCAAGAAATTCATGGATGTTAAGATAAGCATAACAACCATGTAATTCAAGGCTATTATTTTAAAACCAATATCACAAACAAAAATTGTGTGCGTACGATCTTAAAATCGATTATATTTATTAAAAGTAGGACATACAGTAGACTCTCAACAATCTTAATGTAATAATAATAAAAATAATTTGCATGGCTTTTTTATGGGGCTGATATTATAATAATTGGTATAGGGCAAAACCTAATTTGAAAATTCAGGGGCTGTAGGCACAGAACTGTTGAGGTCCCCACTGGGCATAACTTTAAACCAAACTTACATGTTGTTTATTTGCAAAATGCTTTTAAAATATTTATAACATAAATAAATTATGATATATTAGTTAGCTAATGCAGAATTCAATTTTTTCTTTAATGCATAATTCTATTCTTATTGACAATTCTTAAGGAAAAATACACAAAAATTATAAGTAACATTTAGAGTCCCTATGCCCAGTGGGGTCTCAGGTCTTATAATAATTCAGGCTCTTATATTGGGACAAATAATCGTATTAAATATTTCTAATGTTTGACCTCCTTTTAACAACAATAACCTCCAATGAACCTCCCTGTCTCCATAGAACCAAACAAACATCTTCCATAGGGTAATAATAATAATTTATTGATTTTACTTTAGTAAAGAGATTTATTTGCCTATGCTCTTTAGTATATGGTTTATTTTTCCCTTTATCCTAAAACTATGTGATTAAGTGTAGATTTTGAGAATTAATAAATCGTCATAATAAAATGATTATTGAATGAATTTTCATGCAGTTTCATTTATTGATTGCAATACACTTTATGTAAATCCCATATTGTTGGTTTAAATTTTGTTCCTGAAAGCGGTCTAGGAGAACCAAAAATGAATTATAGTAATTTAGCTGGTAATAACACAAATTTTTTTTTAATCCTCTTTTTTACATAGACATGAATACTTTACTAATCAATTATATCAAGTAAAATTGTGTGTATACTGTAGTTTTTTGTTTTTAAAAGATAAATATGCTATTAAAAAAAACATATACAATCAGTCTTTAATTTTGAAATTGAACATTGAAATGTTAAATTTAAAGTAGATCTGTAATTCTAGTATATACCAAAGAAAGTTAGGCATCTATATTAGTGCATTTCTTTGTTTTCAACAACTCAAAATAAAATATTTTTTCATCATTTTAAATGATTTTGACTATCTAATTCTAACACTTTTTATTAAACTGTAAAGTAAGAATTTACAATTATATTTTTGAGTTATTATTTTTTTACTCAATAAAAGCAATATTATATGAAATTCACAACTTTGAAACATTTATTTTGAATTTACCAGTTCATAAAATTAACAATGAAAATTGAATTTAAAAAAATGTGTGCATATTTTTTATTTTTATAATAGTTGCTGTAATTCTTTCCAAATATATTTCATATAATTTACTTGTCCTACCTATTTTGGTGATCTATTATTAATCAAATTATTCTTAGAAAAGAAATTAAATTTAAAAGACTTTAAAACTCATATAATTTCTTTGGCTTATTTAAACATTATAAAATAAAATAAATGCACTGTTATTCTGTTATCTTTACTAAGATCATCTCGATCACCTATTGTGATGTTGTCTGACATTTTCTGGCCGCAGTAAAATATGCTTGCTTCATATTAGCAGAATTTAACCAGATGGTTTTAAATTGTATTGAATTGATTAGTATTGAAACTGCTTTTGTTAAAAATGCTGCAAAATTAAATTGTTTTGTAAATATGTATTATTTTGTAAAAATTAGATTAATTTATAATTTAACATTAAATATTTGTCCTTTTTTATATGTAAATTGAATGAAATGATATGTAGAGCTGTTGTGCAGAAACAAAAAACTATTTAGTTACATATAATACTGAGTATGAAAATTAATATTTTTCCTGATATGCTGTCAGTATTAATATAATATATGAAGTGCAATTATTTATTTGTATTTTAGTTGTTTTAATGTTATCAAAAATTGTGAGTTTATAGAGAAATCATGCTTTGAGTATGCAGATATCTAACAGTTTCTTTAATGCAGCATTCTTTTTAAGTTATTATTTAATAATAAAAACAATCGTTAAAAAAAATCTCATTTATCATATTAAAATATCGTACAGCTCCCAATGCTACACTGGTTTCTCGTCTTCAGTTCAAAATACTACACGAAAGAAAGGCCACTTAGTTTTTGTATTTTATTATCAAATAAGTTTTTTATTCTTCTAGGTATGTAATCTTATGTTTTATTTATTAGATACAGGGATGAGATTTTTCTGCTTTTTAGCGGATTTCCGCTTTTTTCACTTTTATCTCTTGAATTTCAGCATTTTTTTTTTAAACCAAAAATTCAGATTTTTCTAAAAATTTCACTTTTTTTATAAGTATTCCGCTTTTTCAGAAAATTCACCGATTTTCAAAGAGAAACAAAAAATTCAAACTACATAGCTACTAATCCTTTCTCATTTTTACATATTTTAGCTATTTTCTCCCCTTTTACTCGCAGCAGATAAGATTTTCCGAATTTTTTACCCGCCCTCCAGATAGATCCGATTTTTGTAGTTCAAACGACGCTGCTTCTGACAAGCCTTTTAGTGGTCCCAAGCTTGGAATCTGCTAATATCTCGATTCTTATTCACACGATTTTAATATCAAACATAGCTTTTCATATTTGCGTGTTGCGATTCTTATTCTCGCGATTTGAATATTGTACATTGCGATTCTTATTTACGAGATTTAAAAATCCGATATTGTGATTCGAATTTGCGCCTTTTTAAAAACCTATGTAGCGATTCGTATTCCCACAAGTTTAAAATTCAATGTCTTGATTTGCTTATGCGGTTTATAATATCAAACATTGATTTTCGTATTTATACGTGATTTTAAAATAAGGCATTGGGATTCGTATTCGCGCATTCTAAAAATTATGCATCACAATTCTTATTTATGCAATGTAAAAATTATGAATCGTGATTTGTATTTACGTGTTTTAACAATTCTATATCCCAGTTTGTATTTTCTCATTTTCAAAATCCTATATCTAGTTTCATATTCATGTGATTTCAAAATCCATACTTGTTATTCATATTCATGCAGTTTTATGATCAACTATCGCGATTCTTGTAAGAATTTTCTTTTTTTAATTAGTTACTATAAAGGTGACTATTTTTCTAACGACGATTATTAATATATGCAAGTGTTACAACATCAGAGAAACTGGAAGGGAATATATTCAAAACTTACATTCTGTGCTTGCAAAGAAGAAAAAATAGGATTTATCACAAAATGTTTGAAGATGGACTAACGACTAAATATAGCAAACATAAAAGATATAGCAAACAAAAGCAATCACTTAAAAAGGATTTAATTAAAAAAAAAATTTTTTTTGGAAAAAGAGTTAATCAGCTCATCATAAAAATTTTATTTATAATTGCTGTTATTTATGCTATGAAATGCAAAATTCATATCAAATAAAAAACAATTATCTAAACAGTTGCTGATTGTCATGTAATTTTTCAAACTTAAATAGCGATATTTGTATGTTAAGGAGTTACTATATATTTTTACTTCACTGTTATCGATATGTTTCAAAGGGCTCTAGTTAGATTAGATTGTAATATGAACATAATGATTCGGTTCATTGTTAAAGTTTTGTTTTCCAATATAATTGAAAAAAGTAATATTACTGATATATTTGCTAAAAATCACATA